AAAAATTCCATCACCAAACTTTTGGCGAAAATTTCTCTTTTCCCTCAATACTATCTGCTAATTATCATTTGATCATGCATTATTATTTTTAGATTACAATGAATTTTTGACACATTTTAAATAAAGTTTCAAAATCTCAGAATCAAACTACAGTTTTAAAATGCTGATTTAAAGATTCATGAAAATATGTAAAGAGTAGCTTTGTTTGATAACCCGATTCTAATCATTTTACAAAAGTAAATTGTGGATGTATTTATCAGAGTGGAACTGGAAACATTAACACAACCAATGGATAACAGATTTAACACAACTGGAAGCCGCCCAACCGGTGTAGTGGTTAGCGATTTCTAACTGGACGTGCTTCCAATTACAACTCGAAAATACGCTATAAGAAGGGAGAAAATGCTTTTCATACGACCTTATTATTTTTGTTAGTGTTTTCATGTAATTGTTTTATTAAACTTACATCTAATAAGGTTATTCTTTTCCTAGAACACGCACATCAAAAAAAAAAAAAAAGTAGTGAAAAAATGAATATTATTGCACAGTCAAGAGTATCTGTAGTAATCTGTCGAGTAATCTGGAGTCGCAACTGTACTTTTTATGGATTTGATTTTTGTCTTTTTACAAACTTTAACTATGAAAGTATTTAAAGTACTTAACATAAAAGGTAAGTTTGAAACTTCTAGGGTAGAAAATACTGGAAAGTATATAAAACGATTAAGATATACATTAGCTGTAATGCTTAATTTAAACTCATAGACACAAAGTTCCTCTATAAGTTTGGTTTTACTGCAATTAAAATTAAGGTTTTTCAAACCAGATTAATTTTTACCTAATTAACAAGTAATTAAACAAAGCTATGAAAAGAAAACATAACTTTTGTGTTTAATAAAGTGTCTATACACTTTGAAAAGCTTTCCAAAATCAAACTCCATTTGTTCTGTTGTGTGCTGTTAGGATCATTATTTGTGTATTAACAAATCAAAATATTAAAGTTCACTAGCATTTGAAGAGTTTTTGAAAAGCATTTTCCAATGGTGTGTTTAGGACTATTATCCTGCTCATGTATTAAGATATTTAAGATTACTATCCTGCGTATGTACAGATATTACTATTAATGATAGCTAAATTGTTTTACACTAAAATTGATGAATAAGTGTACAGTATTATTGAGGACTCTAAAATCTTTCTCATCACTTAAGAGCAATTGAAATATCAGTATACCGGCAATAATTAACCTCTCCTTTAAAAAAGTCAAAAGAAAGACAAGAAAAATATTGTTTCAAGTTCATATGTCCTATTTCAACCATTTGATACGCTCGCACTAGTCACACCCAATATGTATAGCATAGTTCATTATAATAGTGATATTGTGAAATAACAAATTCTTCATATCGTTCCTCTGATATTCAATTAAAATCTTTCCGAAGTATATCTCGTCAACATGTCTTTCTTATATGCGTAATCTGAGAATGGAACGAGCGTGAAAGGAACCAATTTCATAATAATAAGAGATAATGCGTTTTCTTTATTTTGGCATATCTTGCACTGCATTGGGATATTTAGATCACTAGTGCAAAGAAAAGAATCAAATATCATAAACAATAACAAAGATGGAATTTTACTACCTTTTAATTTATCAAAACATGCATTCGCTATTCTTATAGTCCAGAATATTTATCTTCTGAAATACAGAAAGGAGAGTAGTCTTTCTTGAGAAATCACTAATCTTGATGTCACCGTGATTGATAAAATAGTTAGCGATGCTTTTTGCAGTATCGTTGAATACGGGCTCGAATTGTGGAGAATGATTAAATATTTTTTAATGTATGGTGTCTTGCGACATTGATATGTCTAAAAATATAAGTTTAAAAAATATACTTAAAAAATAAACTTGCAAAAATTTAAAACAAAATTCTTCGATATGATTTTGTGTCCATAAAAATTTTTCATGTATTACAAAATTTAGAAAAAATTAACAGTAAAGGGAATAAAAGCTAGGTATTATCAAAATATGAAAAAACGTGCTTAATACTTTCATCAAAAATAATAAAGACAAATGTAATATGAAACAGCTATGTACCCCAGCTATATGAAACAATCTTATGCATAATGTAATGTTTCAGTTTTCAGAGCTTATACCTTACCAGTCAAAGGCAAAATATTCACTAATTTTTGCCATACATGAAATAAAAAGAAATTACGCAAAACCAAAGATGAGTATTTGAATTATGACATAATCTTCTGCTTACTTAGTTGAAACGCTGAGGACTAGTGAGTTTTGTTTCAAATTCAACCTTAATCCCGGCACGTACTGTAATATAAATAAAGGCAAAACATTTAAATTCTTTTGAAATAAAGTTTGTTTATAATACGTTGTTCTTGCATGGTACTTATTGAAATATTCTTTTTATTTATGCTTCAGATTTATGTGATAAAGTTGTTACGCGTCTTATATTTCTGTCGAACTACAATTTCTCCATGCATAACTTTATTTTCCCTCATGAAAAATCAAAATTCCCTCAAGAAATGGAACATACAACAGCCTGTTTTATCATTATTTTCATTTGATTCAAACGGGCAACTTGCTCTGAGCATGTCTAAAACCTCAAAATTATCAGCCACAGAAATAAAAAAAAATAAACAGACAGATAGATAAATAATATATCTGAAAAATACTTTTACGCTATTCCTAAAACATACTAGACAGATAAGATATACCTACCATTGAAATTGATGTTCTTACCATCCGGTCTTGTATATGTATGCTGATGAAGCACTACAAATTAGTTAAAGCATTTTAACATTTTTAGAAACAGAGACTGATTACTGCCTATCTACGAGGCTGCAAGTTTTATGGGCTAAACAATTGTCTTGCAACTCCTCATAATACTATCTTCTTCTCATTAAAAAAAATTGGTATGGGGAACATTTGAAAGAATTCTCTGCTAGGGCTCCACATTGCTTTAATTACTTCCTGTTTGCAAGATGTTGCTCTATTTACAAGATGCTTTGTTTGCAACATGTTATTATTTATAGAAAGAAATGATAATTAAACTTCGGGAAAAATATGATACATCGTTTGGGATATAAACGATCAAGATACGAATAAGAAGCAAGTATAAAATGGCGGAAAAAGACTTTAAAAGTTTCCCTGAAATACAAATTTTGAAGAATTTTCATTCTGCAGTCTGTTAATACACTAAATTTAGTGATTTTGGGCATTTTGTAATGACTATACCCGTTTTAAAACTGAAGAAGATATACATATTCCACAAAGAATACAAATTTATGGTTTTTACTTTTACGGTAGAGATAAGAAGACATTCATGAAAAATACAAGGCTCATTGCATGAAACTATGAATTATGATAAATTTAAAAAGTACAATGATGATAAACTTTAATTAAAATTAAAAATTTTTAAGTTTGCATTTTCTTTGGTAATTTGGCATTGTGTTCTTATCACAATAAATATTGCCCGCAAATAAATGCGTCATAAAATACGAATATTAAAATTATTTTATAGTTAGAATAGTTTCAATGTATAGGAAACTGTTTGAAACTGTGGAGGAAATACACTAATAAGTAAACCTTGATGAAGGATTAGGATTTAATTCTGTCATTTAAATTCCAAGAAGGAAAGTGACACGATAGTTTCAATGAAATCCTTATGAAGTATCGCTGCAAATAAACGTAAAATTAACGTACTTTATATGCTTTTCGATAATGCAGGTTTTTTAGCCGCTTTGAATAGCTGAAATTGAAAATTACAGACACAATTTTTGTTTCTTACATAATCTGTTAGACAAAAATAATGAAAGTTTGGGAAACGACTGTTATTCTTTTGAAAGAAAGTTATAAAAATCCATTTATGTGTTGAAATCTATAACGAGATATGTGATCAAAGAAAAAATAAGCTAAATGAAATTATGAAATAAAGTGCTAAGTGAAATCTTGTAATTAGGCAGTAATCTGCATATTATTGCCCATTTACATATTTAAGCAAAATAACAAGATTTCAATGTCAGTAAATTTCTCAAAAATATATATTTAAATTTACGAATTTGTTCTTTTGAGTACTTTTAATCTGAGTCAAAGCATAAGCCCAAAATTTCCATTATTATAAAATTAAAATCTAAATTTTTCTTAAGATTTAAATAAATGTAAAAATTCTCTTATATATAAAATAATCTAATTCCAAGGAATAATGGATTTTCATACTCTGAAAAAAAAAAAAAAAAAAAAAAAAAGAAGCATTAGAAAACGGTCCTCAATCGAAAACTTTCACAATCAAACTAGATATAATTTTTTATGCCAAACTAAATGTTTACAATTTAAAATTTTACACTCTAATGATGATAGGATTATCGCTTTTTATTTGATTCCAAAGATTAGGCTGATTTATAGATCTAAGCTGGCATCAGATATTAAATTCGCTTTTTTATTTTTATCAAATTTAGAGAGCTAATATTCTATTGGGAATTTCTCAAAGCAGTGTTAAAATACATATTTGATTTTTATTATTTTGTTCTGTAAAATTACTACAAATTACGCAGTCTGATTTTACATGTATTGCATACTAAAGTAAGTAGCCCATATGTATGAAATGGATGAAATTGAAACAGTATACAGAGATTTAAATCTGGTTTAAGAATTGTCTTTAATTATTTTACTCTACTTTTTTTCATCTTAACCTTATTTTTACATTAAAAATTGAAGAACTACTACTTGCAGTTTAAATTTTTATAAAAATGTTTTGAAAAAGAAATTTAATTTCTTTAAAATTCGTTTTTTAAATTTAAACTAAAATTCATATTTTGAACAGCAAGAAAAACAATACAAGAGTAAATACTATTTTAATCAGAACTTATTTTTATCTAACAGATGATTGCTTCTAGTATAAAATCAGATTTGGAACACAGGTGTCATTTTTTCTCATAGTTTATCAGTTTATCTCATAGTTAAACACCAAATGTTATTCTTTAAAACTTATTACAGCCTTTTTACTTGCTTGTGTTAAGATGTTTCGTCTGTTTCTATTGATTTGCGCTGCTTCTGCAGCTCCTATTAACAAAGATGATGAAGGTAATTTATTCCAACGATTTCACTAACCCTAAATTTCTTTTGTTATTTGCTACTACAAATATTATAAAAACTTTCATGTATAATACCTAAAATGATGGTATGTCATTTCTTGCCAAAATATTTGTTATGAGAATTAAATAATGTGTTAAATAAAGAGCCATATTTTCCATTGAAACTTCATGAATAGGATAGAGCTTAAATTTTGTTGCAACCGAAGTTTTGTGTTAATTACAAACAAAAATATACATGTAATTTAGAATTATTTCAATATCAGAGGGCGTTCATAACAATTAAAAGATTTTATTCATTTCTTACCAAATTGAAATGATCCTTTTGAAATCATTTTGATCCTTCTTAAAAATTCGTTTCAGGTATTTGTTTTGATTATGTGAATAATAATGGATAGTAAAAGGTAATAATTAAAATATACTTCTTATATAAAATATAATTACTGAATATTTTACCTTAAAATCAATCCTTGTATCTTATCCTGCGAGTACGCAGTAATTTGGAAAACATATTGCGTGTATTTCTTTTCTAATAAATAGAATGTTCTGAAGCATAAAAAAAGATTAATTTTGTTTCATTTCGAAATCAATAGAAGCGAGCGCAGATGATAAGAACTTTATTAAATTTTTGTGCGAATTAGACTTCAGTGTTTTTTAATGTAAGTATTTATTAATGTAGAAATTGTAATGAAAATATTCTTTGAAAAAAAAAAGATATTTGTGTAAAACTCTTATAAAATTATGGAATTTTACAAAAATTAATGGACATAGTTCTGAGAAGTATTAGTTTAATTATTTAGATTTATGTTGATAAGAGTATAAATGAAACATAAACAGAAAATAAATCAGTTAAGTTAGTAATGTGTGAATAGAGAATATATGTTTCTCTTCTTAAAAGAACGAAACAATTAAAATCATCTGCCACTTGAAACAACTTAGAAATTCTATTCTTTGAGAAACACAAATATATTTCAAGGGAAAATTGATAAATAAAAACTTACTACAAAAGAGATCTAAAAAGAAAGAACTGTGTCAATTTCCCTGCTCAAATCCATGATGAATTTCTCTAAAATCTTGCACTGTATGGATGAGTCTCGTTTAACTTTATAATGGGATAATTAATCAATTATTTTCATTAAGTATCAGATTAGCGTCTGTTTCCTGGGGAAGCATCTGTGCTTGAGAATATCAAAGAATATCTTATTATTCAAGAAGAGTAGTAAAAAATACAAACAGAGTAAATTCCATACAGACACATAAAAGCAATTGCGGTGCCTTTGAAACTGCTAACAAATACGCTGTTTGTGTATTACCTTATTGGTACCTTGCAATAAGAAAGCAGTATAAAAAAGTCATTAATAACTATATTTTCAACTGATCTGATTACATGAAAAATAAATGCAAACATAAGCAACGCAGTGATTAGTTGATAAGTAACTAATAGCTAATAAAATCTGCAGTGCTGTTCTCCTCAGTGAGGGACTATGGATTCTCTTTTATTTCGTCAGGAGATCCTCCTTTTTATCATATATGTAACCTTATACTTTGAATAAAGTACTTTGTTCAATTATTTTATTTTTTTCGCAAAGCTTTTTTATGATCTGTAAGTTATGAAAGTAAAGTAAAATAATACAAAAAGAAATGGAAGAACTTTTCATCCAACGGGTATAGGAGATGCACTACTTACTTGTAAGTAAATAAAGAATGTTAAGTGCTTAGATTAATGAATGAATAAATAAATAAATAAGTAAGTAAAGCAAATTATAAATACAGTATTTAAATTGTTTGGAAACTTTTTATTGCCCCACCTGCGGCCAAACGGTTAAGTCGCTGAACGCTGGTAGTTCGATCTGAGGTTCGAATCCTACAAACGGGCTGGTTGCATGGGCATTATCGTGGTTTTCCCGATGTGTAACGTGAATAGGAGCCAGTTTTCCTTAGAAAGCCCTCCACGAAGGTATCCCTTCCCTTACGTAGATAACTCTCGAGTGCTGCAGTAACCAAATAAACTAAACCGTTTGGAAACCTTACATGATATTTAAAGCAGAGAATTAACCTTTTCAAAGCAAAACGGTACACAAATTAAAAAAGTGTGTTTTTTCAAGAGTCAGACAGCTTGATTATCTAATTAAAAATTTAATTGCTAATGCATTTATAAAGTGTACTATACTGAACTCGTTTATAGAGTTTGAAGATTCAGTGTAATGATTCAGATATGGAGATGCCTAAAGGCAGGCTTCAGCTAATAGCTAAACGCTTAAATAATGAATGGATCAATGTTGTCCTCACGGTACTACATGAATCAAGATAGCCATCACATTATTACGTAGATCAAGATATATCCTAATGTTATGAAAGCTATGATATACCCAATACAATACAATACAACAATAATGTTATGAAAGTTATGATATTACAAATACAAGTCGTTTTGCTGTCAATGGAATCGAAAAAAGAACTATAAAACGACAGGCGCAGTCTATACGTATAACCTATGATAGATAGACGATATCCATTCCTTTAAAATGCTGGAAAGATTAATTTTAAGAATGTGCTGATCGAAAAATTGATCAGCATGTTTGAAAAACTCCTTTTATGTTGTTGTAGTTGTTGTGACTAACCTGGCTTGTCTAAAATCAGAGCAAGTCCACGAAATTCATCGTGACAAGGAGTCAAGACTGCGCCTGTCGTTTTATGTTGTTATTGTTATTGTGACTAACCTGACTTGTCTAAAATCAGAGCAAGCCCACGAAATTCATCTTGACAAGGAGTCAAGACTGCGCCTGTCGTTTTATGTTGTGACTAACCTGGCTTGTCTAAAATCAGAGCAAGCCCACGAAATTCATCATGACAAGGAGTCAAGACTGCGCCTGTCGTTTTATGTTGTGACTAACCTGACTTGTCTAAAATCAGAGCAAGCCCACGAAATTCATCGTGACAAGGAGTCAAGACGCCTTCGTTTTGTTGTGACTACCTGGCTTGTCTAAAATCAAGCAAGCCCCAAATTCATCATGACATGGAGTCAAGACTGCGTCTATCGTTTTATGTTGTTATTGTTATTGTGACTAACCTGACTTGTCTAAAATCAGAGCAGCCCAGAAATTCCTCTGCAAGGAGTCAGACTGCGCCTGTCGTTTTTATGTTGTGACTAACTGGCTTGTCTAAAAATCAGAGCAAGCCCACGAATTCATCATGGCAAGGAGTCAAGACTGCGCCTGTCGTTATGTTGTACCCGACTTGTCTAAAATCAGAGCAACCCACAATTCTCATGACAGAGTCAAGACTGCGCCTGTCGTTTTTTTGACTAACCTGACTTGTCTAAATCGAGCAAGCCACAATTCATCATGACAAGGAGTCAAGACTGCGTCTTCGTTCTATTTGTTGTGACCGACCTAAAATCAGAGCAAACGAAATTTCTGACAAGGAGTCAAGACTGCGCCTGTCGTTTTATGTTGTTGTGACTAACCTGACTTATCTAAAACCAGAACAAACCCACAAAATTTATCGTGACAAGGAGTCAAGACTGCGCCTGTCGTTGGCAAGAGCCTTGGGCACCATACAGGTGACTGGGCGATTTTGAGAATTTCCTTCCCCCAATTTGGAAACAAAGCCTCCCAACCCTCTTTTCCTACTACCAGCCTCTCGAGAAGACTTTCTACTCGCCGCATATTTGCAGTGCCCCGATACCGAGGAGACACTATACATTTACAAGCATCCATATCATCTCCAGAACTCGAAACAGAGCCGTTCGGTGCAGCATTCAGAGTCACTAACCACTATACCGGTTAGGAGGCTCGAAAAATCCTAGTACAGATGTAGCTTCTCTCTTTGCTTTATTTGTAACAGCAAAATATCTATACAGTATTTTTATTTTCGTGGTTTTCAGAAATCAGTTGCATATTGGTTTTATGAAACTAATCTGCACTTTGGAACTGTTTGATTATGGAACATCACAACTGAACAAAACAGAAGTATAAATATTAAATTTTTCTGACCTATAATTATTGCAGGAAGTACATTGTGATTATGATTATTTCTGGAAGTGTTCAAATGTTTAAATTTTATTTTCAGAGCTTAGCAGACTCGCTATGCAGAATCCTGATTTGTTCGGCGGTGATATGGCAGGAATACAGAGTCTGGATGTAAGATATTTATAGTTGCTTTCTTTAGAATATTTAATTATTTAAATAAAACTGTTTTTGTAGTGAGATTCAGCATCTGAAAATTTCTTACATAATTATTTGTTGTTTTTGAATTCATCATATGCTAATAATTTTGAAGAATCTATAATCTGAAAGATGAATTTAGATCAGATACATTTTAACAGAGCCACACAATGCACAGTTTTAATATACAAAATTTTCTTCCTGTTATCTCATTATATTACATGATTCTATATTACTTTGCAGTTAAACAAATATCCTTTTGCTAAGTTAAGTTACTTCCTTAAGAGTTAACACGTCTTCGTTTTGAGTAACTTTATAGAGTATAATTAGAGGTTTACTTCGGAGAAGGAAAGAGAAAAATCAGCTATGCTGTCGTCTGAGCTTGAACTCCGGACCTCCCGATTTGATAGCCGAACGTGCTTCAGTTACACCAAGAAAACGAACCTTTAGGAAGAAGAAAATTCCTTATATCTACATTAAATTTGATTTCACTAATAAGCTTTTTGTAGTAGTATAAGTAGACGAATAAGTTATAGAAGAAACTGCCTTTTTTTTTTTTTTTTTTAAGTTTATTGTAATTATTGTTTGAAAGTATTACTGTAATTCTTATGCAACAATGCTTTTTCAAGAGTAAATTTGTTAATGCTACTGCATTTATAACGCATTTGGTAGAAAATGTGCATTGACTGCTATTCTGCATTATTTCAAGTTTGCGTTTTTAGTGAGTCTGGTACCAATCAGGAATGACATTTTTTTTTAACTAGATTTTTATTTGTCTATTTAGTTTTGCTAAATGCCGGTCAGTCGGTATGGTGGTCAGGGAAGCTGACTGCGATGTCGAAAGGCTTCGGTTCGAATCCCGGAGTATATCCTTTTGCTAAGTTAAGTTACTTCCTTAAGAGTTAACATGTCTTCGTTTTGAGTAACTTTATAGAGTATAATTAGAGGTTTACTTCGGAGAAGGAAAGAGAAAAATCAGCTATGCTGTCGTCTGAGCTTGAACTCCGGACCTCCCGATTTGATAGCCGAACGTGCTTCAGTTACACCAAGAAAACGAACCTTTAGGAAGAAGAAAATTCCTTATATCTACATTAAATTTGATTTCACTAATAAGCTTTTTGTAGTAGTATAAGTAGACGAATAAGTTATAGAGAAACTGCCTTTTTTTTTTTTTTTTTTTTTTTTTTTTTTTTAAGTTTATTGTAATTATTGTTTGAAAGTATTACTGTAATTTATGCAACAATGCTTTTTCAAGAGTAAATTTGTTAATGCTACTGCATTTATAACGCATTTGGTAGAAAATGTGCATTGACTCTGCTATTCTGCATTATTTCAAGTTTGCGTTTTTAGTGAGTCTGGTACCAATCAGGAATGAAACTTTTTTTTTAACTAGATTTTTATTTGTCTATTTAGTTTTGCTAAATGCCGGTCAGTCGGTATGGTGGTCAGGGAAGCTGACTGCGATGTCGAAAGGCTTTGGTTCGAATCCCGGAGTAGGCATGGTTGTAGCTGTCCGTCCCTTCATAGGAAAGGCGATGGTGGCTACCTATTAGGTGCCTGCATAATAAAGAGACCACCACATCTGGCCTTGTATAGATTAATGGAGTGGGTTACATTTGTAATTGTTCATAATCTGCCATTGGATAAAAAAAAAAAAAGTTTTGCGAAATTTTTTTACCTATTACCTTGGAAAACTGTGATTAGTTTTCCTATTAATTTTAATAGAGATTAATTAAAGGAAAAGATAAATTTAATTACAATTTTATCATAAAACGCATGGAGCATAACTGTTAGTAATTGCAATTTTGTGTTATAAGGTATTTTCTCCTTCATTTCCGCATGCCTTCTAGGTGTAACTGGAAGCATACTCGACGCGTGTTCGAGTCACGTCTTCTACTTCAAATTAGCCAAATGACACACAGTGCATTAAATGCTTGTTTTGTAGAGACATTAGGTATTTTTTTTAGGCAGGAGTCATGAGAAAGGAGCAGCGTCTTCGCCGGGAATCGAGCCATTGACCTCTGGAATACGCGCCCAGCATGCAGACCACTACACAACGAATTCACGCTAAGAAGGCGGGAGAAATACCTTATAGTTTTTTGTGAGGAAAATTTTATTCTGTTTTCCATTTCGTAAATTGTTTTTAATTGCTCTCTTTTTCTATATAATAAATGGAAGTTGAATGCAACAGAAACATTCTGAACTACTGATTCAAATTATGAAAGATTATATTTTCAGTGAGCAAAGTTGTAGCAACTATTTGAAACTATAGCAAATAAATCATGAGAAAAAAGTTCAAAAATGTATTTAGCAAGTGGTTTTAAGAAAGAAATGTATTGTCACAAAGAAAAAAACATATATGAAATAAACAGACTTTTTGAACTAATTTATAATGTCTTCGTTCATATTCTAATAGAAATTTCATGTTACAAAACACATAATTTTTTATGTAATACCTCACAGGGTACATTTCACATTAGTCACAGTATAAGCTACTTGTTATTAGTAGATGTAGTATACATTAATATAGAGTTATCTATTTATTTTAATCCTGGGTGGATTAAAACAACTGAAAATCGTGTAGCTTGGATACAAGTTATTTCACGTAAAGCGAAAGTTTAAAAGATTCTATTCTGTGCCAGACTACAACATTATAGCAAACATTTAATTAATTTTTGCTCTATATCTTGCAGCATACATCTACATTTTTCGAATTGTTGTGTAATGCGTTTCTTGAATGCTGAAATATATTTTGTATTTCAGGATCGAAATGGTATTCCTTTTGATATGTTTAGATGGCCTAATGCCGAGGTTCCCTATGTTATTGACGCTTCCTTGAGTAAGTTATCAACTATTCAATGAAATTCAAGTCAAGTATAGACAAAACAATGAGTAGTATAAAGAACATCAAAGATTAGATGTTTGATACTTTTAACTATCATTTTTTCATATTTTTTAACCGGAAAAAATGAGTAACGGACGTATTTATAATTAATTATACATTATGCTGTTTATAATTAAGCCAAATTAATTGGTTTTGTATAAATTTGACTAGCCTCTAGTTACGTTAATGATTCCGCCTAAGAAAATATTTATTTATTTATTTCCATTTGATTGGCGAGCGCTTGGCTATTTGGCTTCCTCCGTGGTGCAACTGAGCCCGTGATTCATTTACATATTCATTTCAAAGACATTGTCCAGCAGGCATCGCAGGAAAGATCAGCAGTAAAAGATTTAAGAAACATAAAGCAGACAATCATGCCAAGGGCATGATCCTTTCGCATTCTCAATTTCGAACAGGCAATGAACTTTTACTAGTCATCACATTGCCCGAAGCAGATTACAGAAACCCTAAAATAAAGCGTAAATATTAGATTATTAAAAAGTAAACACTTTATGTAGTAATTAAAAGTTCTAAAAATTCATATAATGTTATGTTTGTGATAATAAATTAAATTTACTTGTGTAGAGAAAATATAATATTTTAATTTAAAATGCATATTTTAATTTAAATTACAGTAGAGTCGAATCTTTTTTTATCAGACTTAGCGAGGACAAAATGCATTTGAATAATTCATTAGTTTCGACAATCGATTTATCTAAATAAAAATTGCTTTAAAACATACAATATTTTATTTCGGCATTTATTTACGTTTCCCAACGCGATTCTTTAATGCTTTAACGTCCTGATTAGAAATAATTTGCAAAGAAGTTTCTTCCTTTAAGACCAATGTGAAGCAGAATGAGTAAAAGTTTAGAATGATAAGAGAACATGCAGAATGCAATAGATGTATTCATCTATTCTACTCAATGATCCCAGATCTAAGAACAAAATGATTAGGTATTAGAGAAAAAACGATTGGAAGAGCATAGAAGAATTTTGTAGGCGAGTCTGCATATTGTTTCCAAGTATTTTCACGGATGTTCTCCAGCATCTTTTAAAGCATATTTGAAAGGATTCGGATAATCCATTTTTCTATATTCGTAGATGTCATTTATGTGCAACAAATATTGAAATTTATGCACAAAAATTTAGAAAGGTTAAAAAAAAAAAAAAAACTTTACGATTTAACATGATTGGTTCTGCAGTTTGTCAATACAAAAGTATTTTCTAAGATAATGTAAATATAATTTATTGTTAATTTGCTCAATGTTTAAAATATAAGTTATTATCATTCAGTATTTAGTTGCAGTGTACACTGTTTAATTAAATTTAATTTTAATTTTTTAAATATTTTTCGTACAGTAATTATTTGCTTTGAGTAGAATAATTGTTCAAGGTTTTTCTATTTGCTTCCAACAGAACCCCATATGGCCGTTATCACAGCGGCCATTAATAATTATCATTCTACAACTTGCGTTCGCTTCGTACCTCGAACGAATCAGTTGGATTACATCAGACTTTTCGCTGGAAATGGGTAAAAATGGATTTTCTTATTTCTCAAATATCTTAATTAATAATTCAAAATTTTAGTTTTTAATTCTAATTTGTAAATAAGATGTGCATTCTTTGCTATTACTTAAAATATAGTTTAAATCACTCGAACAGCTCTTAAGATGCAAAGTAAGTTAAATATTTATAGGCAAAGGAAATGTAATTATTGAAAAAATAAACAAATTAAAGGTAACAAATTCAGTACTTTTTATACCTTACAATTACAAAATCGAAAATAAAGATATTACTATAGAAGTAAAAAGGAAACTTTTTTGTTTTGAAAGTCGAATTTCTTGAAATGGTTTTAGTTTTTCATAAAATGAAACAGGGAATGTTTATTATTCATGACGTTTGAACCAAAAATTCCGGTTAATAATTACTGATTATCTATAGCTATAAATAATATTTGAACATTGTTTAAGCAGTTGCATTGACGCATTCCTTACGAAGTGGCCTAGTAGAAGACAAGATTACAATGAAAATTTTCAAGAATTTGTTGCCATTATGGTTAATAGTAATTAACAGTTTTAGTCTTTTCTATTGTTGTTTTAATTGTCAGTCTCAAGGCATTTAGAGAGAAAAATGACCTATTTGGCCATTTCAACAACAGAATAATTGGTATTTTATGTAGTAAAATATATTGCATTTTCAGCCACCGTCATTGCCAAATAAATTACATTCGCAATTGAAAATTATGCAGTTTTATATAATTAAATCCAATTGCGTTAAAATTACTAATTACTAATTATATGAGTAATAATTACCTCAGTTGAATGGCAATAGACTGTAAAACTTTGCTTTGCATAACACTAAGTGCTGCTAATCTCGGCAAGCTTCGTGATAAAAATAGCGCTGCTAATAACTTGCATTGAAGGAAAATAACTTAAGGTAATTATTTTTGGATTTTGTAGAGACATTAGGTATTTATTTGGGAAGCAGTCAAGATGAAAAATTAGCAATGCCTTCGCCGGGAATCGAACAGCGGACCTCTGGAATACTCGCTTAGCTTGCAAACCACACCCCGAAGGCATGCCAAGAAGGCGAGAGAAATACCTTATGTACTCCCCCTTTTAAAGGGCGACTGGGGTTTTAGGGGACACAATTGCCAAATCCTGTGTGTGGAGAATCATCATCCAACACCCTTTTAGTTCTGAAGCCACTGTAGAGATATTAGGTATTTTTTTGGAAGCAGGCAAGATGAAAAATTAACAGACGCCTTCGCCGGAAATCGAACCGCAGACCTCTGGATACGCGCCCAGCGTGCAAACTACCACACCACGAAGGCATGCCAAGAATGCGGGAGAAATACCTTATAATTTAACAATGGAAAAGGAGTAGTAAATGTTTTGAGAATAAAACATGCTAGTACTAAATGAAAAGATTAGCGCAAAATGCTGCTAAATCATAATTTAAGTTTAAAAGTTCAAAAGCATCAAAAGCATTGATAGTTGGATCTTACAATGTTTTTGAACTTTTAAACATAATTTAACAATAAATTTACTTCCTTAATTAATGCTGTTTCTTAAATTAACATTTCTTATCTTAAATTACAAAAATCGATTGTTTATATCCTTGTGAAATGTCTTCAAAACTACACTCAAAATTTAGAAAGCGTGTAACGTCAGTTTTAGTTTCAATAAATAAATACATATTTTAGTCTGTTTCAATTAAATATTCCGCGTAAAATCATTCTTTTTGAATCCTGACGGAACTATGTACAATCTGATATAAAAATTAGACATAAATAGGAAAAATATGCTTTAAAAGATAAAAATTATATTTCTTGAAGAACGAAATCACCAGCATAATATGAAACTTATTGAGTTGATAAACCATCATCTGTTTGCGTGATGTTCTAACAACACAGTGGTAATTCAATAGTAAAATATTTTATATGTCGTCATGCTACAGTTATTTGAAAGTAGTTAATGGTAGTTTTAATAATTTCAATTGTTTTGTAAGTAAGTTTTGCATCAAGTCTGGGGAAAAAGTAAAGTTATCCAATGAATTTCTAAAGTGCAGTTACATAAAACAGAAATGATAAATCAGCTTACTTGTCAATCTCAATTCTCGGTTGAGGTTCCTGCCGTCAAAACCTTTTAAACTTGATTGGTATCTGTAGCCGCACCCAAACAGATGTCTTAAAACTAATTAAATCAGATCAATACTTGAAACTAACTAAAATTAAATCTAACTAATCCTTTAAAAGCAATAATACGATTATTGTTATTTATATACTATTATTGACTTATTTATTATCAATGCAACTAATTTGGATTTATTATAATTCTGAAAAAAAAATATGTTCTTAATACAGAAGTCCACTTTTCTTTTCGTTACCGTAAGATTGCTACCGATTTCTTCTATTGACATCATGACCTTGCTAAGTGATCTGATTTTCTGAACCCTATTTAGCTCTTCTCACTGCTGTCACGGAGCTCATGAATTCAACACCCACTTTGCTCCTTTTCTAATACGTGATTTCTTATACGTGAAACATTTACCGCGTTATTTCAGTGTATTACCTCTAGATAGACAATAATTATATCTTAGATTAACAGGCTCTTTAATGAATCCAACAAGCCAATGCGTGACACTCGCTACGGTATGAATTGCATGGGGATGAGAATATGAGAATTAGAAAGTAGAGAATAAATCCAACATTAGAAATTAAATAATATTAAATAAAGATTAAACGAAGGTGGAACAATCATTTTATTGTTTTACTCTACAACGTAACTCAAACTTTTCGCGACAATGAGCAATAAAAGTTAACAAAATAAATAGACTTATGAAATTAATCAAAAATCTTCACTGTGGACAATGTTTCCAGTAAAAATGTTGTCGAATATTAATGTCCATGTAATATATGACTACAATACTTTAAAATAAATACAAACTTCACAGCAGAAAACTCGATTTTACTTTAATTAAAACATATTAGGTATTTCTCCCGCCTTGTTAGCGAGCCTTCGTGGTGTAGTGGTCAGCACACTCAGCGCGTAATTGAGAGGGCCGTGGTTCGATTCCCGGCTAAGGTGTTGCATATTTTTCATCTTGCTTGCTTCCAAAAAAATCCTAATGCCTCTACAGACGTTATAATACAAGCAGTGCTAAACAAGGAGCGCAGAAAAAATTCGTCCAAGCTTTCAGGTTGCGGGAGAAAAGAAGGTGGAAAAAGGAGAATCCTTTTGATCTCAAGCAGCTGAGGACCTCCAAGCCGCACACAGTTTTTCTTCTCCTTTGTAATATAAGGTTAGACAGTGGAGTTTACATGTAATGTGTATCATCCTTCCGGTGTTTAAAAATGAAAAAAAAAAAAGACAATTTTGAAATTCGTACTGATTTATTTATTTATTTTTATTTATTTATTTTTTTTTTTCTTTTGCAAACAGAAAAAAGATAGTCACTAGCATTTAATGCAATTATTCACCAACTGTTAGGTGCCACGCTTGCAAACGCAGATAGCGTTTCATTGAGGACAATATCTTCTTTTAACTTCCTTGCACTACTTGTGATAACATTGTATAGACTTTCGAGTGGGGCTGCAACTATGTGTACTCCAACTACTCATACAGTTTTTGTTGAAAAACTTTACCTATCTTTATAATATCAGAGTATAACAGAAAGAAATATGTTGACTAAATTAAAAATATTCAAAACGTAATTATTTATTTATTTAAATAGCACCTCAGTGCATTAGAGGTCTAATTAACTGCCTTTCTTGCAGCTTATAATATGCGATTGTGTAAAATATTATTGCGTGCGCACGGGTTCGTAATAGACAGAATGCGCACAGGTCCGATGAGGGTTTGATGAAATTTATCTTATCAAAAGAAAAGCTTCAGAGCTCTGGAACATGCCACAGAAATACTAGTACAGGTATTCACAGTAACACACAGTACAATCGGTAGTTACACTTCAAATTACTAAGAGCTCTAAACACAACGCAAGCAAAGGGCATCTAAAAGGCGAAGCTTTCAATATTACGAAGTCGCTCTGAACTAACAACTCACAACAATAACTGAGAGCAAATGCTCTCTCCGGTCTCATAGAGAGTGTTCACTCGGACGCCGAGATATTTCTAGTACTTTCTGCTTGTCGAAATTACTGAAAGGCGTATGAGAGCAGAATACAGTTACAGATAAAATAATTATAGTTATTCAATTACAATACCTATTATGGTGATTCAGGGATCGTACCAATATGTCGCCAAATGGACGTTAAGTTCGGCGAGTTTTAAAAACTGGGCAACAAAAATTAGTCGCCAAAGCCATTACCAGCTTGGCGATATCCTGCCAAATTAACGAGATAGCCATTTGCTCAATGTTAAATAGAATTGCCCCTGTATTCGTATTTTTTCGGCAAGCTTCGCACTTTAAATTTTCATGTCAGATTATGCAAAAGGAATATAACAATTGCACATACAATTTCACTAAATTTATCTACCTATGTACAAAATTCGCAAAGATATAATGTTTATTTTATTATTTTTTTATATTGAAAAATATTATTTTTATAATGAAAATAGTATTTTTAGTTTGTTACTTAATTTTACAAAACGAGCTTCCCTAAAATGCTGAACGGAGTAAACATATGTAAAGTAGATAAAGCTAAATTAGATCAGATTGTATTATAAAAATTCAAAAATTAAACAGATAAGTCTTTCGTTCCTTTTTTATGAGGGGGGTGGATGGCACATTTGCCTGAAGTCATTTCATAGCCAAACTAGCGAAAAATGTTTATCTTTAAATGTTTGAGTAAAACAAACTAAAATTAACAATTCTGGTGTATTTCATTATAAATCTGTTAGGTTGCTACTTATAAATCCATTTACCCCATTGCAGTCAACACTCTGCAACTACTTTGACCTTAGCAATAGAGAAATGTTTATCAACGCCTTTTATTTTCGAATAATGGAAAGAAATAGTTGCAATCCTGCCTTTAATTTTAATTGCAAAGGTCGCAACTGCTTCCTGTTTTGACAAGATGCAATTTAATGAACATGAGAAAAGAATAAAATCTACTTTTGTGGTGTTAAAATATATTTGAAATTTAAATATATCATAATATTAGACAATATGAAAAAAATTCTACTTCTTGTTTCCAGGATATGCTGATTTTATGCTTGAGTTTTATGCTTGAGCTACTCCATATTTCCATTTTATGATTAACTAAGGGTTAAAATGAAGAAACTCTCTCTTTCATTTGGGAAAGGAAACTGAATGTGTCATTCTTAGATAGTAAATTTCAATAGATTGCTTCAAAAAACGTAAGAAACAAAAATTATCTATATTAGAAATGCAAGAATATTCAACTCTAATAAAATATGCAAAACAATTAAGTTATTATCCTTCATTATTTTTACTATGCTACATATATCTACGTTTTCAATACAATAAGTCTTCTTAATTAATAATAAATTTTAATTAATATTCAGAAGTGATATTACATAGCACTCAAAATAAACATTCATCTAAAACGTTTTTGTATTGGAAATCATATTAAATATGTGCATAGTTTGTTTACCTTGATCAGGGCTTCAACACAGCAACATTATAGTGGACTTTTCAGTTCAGCAATATACAAAGTAAATGAGTATTTTACACCTGAAGTATTTTCTAAAATACACCGCTGACCATTAAAATGGCTACAGCATTAATAGTGGCATGACAGATTTTCGTGAAAGGTACTACATGCTAGATACTATGTAGGCAAATGATTCCATCCATAACGCACGTATGAGCAATGCCATGTATATAAAATTTGAAGATTGCACAGCGGGTTTCTCATTTGAAACCACATTTGCAAATTGGTTATTTGTGTGATAGTAGTGTTAGCTCCTATCAGCAAGCGCCCGAGAGAACAGAAATTTTGTCCTCTTGGCCTTGCGGGATCGTAAAACGATGCCCTGAGTGAGAAACTTGGCTTAAATGCCGAATGAGAAATTTCTGCACGGACAGTCTGAAGACGTCTGCAGTACCATGGATTGCTAGTACTGCTACCTTGTAGCTTCAAAAAGCGAAGCAGTAGAGAAAAGAGGACCTACAGTGATGTGACGAACAACGACAGTTTCAGACGAATCTTCGTTCTACGTACCGCATTCATGGTTGACGTATTCGTGTGAACAGATACTGAGGAAAACGAACTCTGCCAGCTTCCATTCGTCATCTTCACATGGACTCAGCACCTGGCGTCCTGCTATGAGTCACATCCTGATCATCTCTTGTTTGCGCAGCCTTTAACGTGGATTGTTGGCGTTACATTTCTGACGTTTTAAAGTTTGTGACTGTGCCTGTTCTTCGAAACCTCCGTTACGTATCTTTTAACAAGATAATGCACGAGATCGCATACTGCACTTGTTGTCCTGAGTATTTTTAAATACAGAGTTGCCCTGGCTATCCTATTCTCCAAACCTGTGACCCATTGAGAACATCTGGTCATAGGCTTCCGAGATACTGGTAACCCCCATTCAACAGCAATTATGATTGATGAACTTAAGAATAGAGCTGAAGCCGCATGTAGTGTCCAGTACCTGCATCTATCATCTAAGCTCAGTTCGACTCGATAATTACAGTCGTTGTTGTTGCCATAGGTGGCAGCTCTGTGTACTGAATTTTGCGCGGTGTGTACCCTAAACAAACCTTCAAATTTAATCATCACATCCTTTCAACATGCAGAATACGTACAATAAACATATTTCTGCTCTTTGCTTTCCAGGGTAGTAACTTTAATGATTTTTTTCATTTTCATTAAGTAGTTATCAGCTAATTTTATCTAAACACAGAGAACAAAATTCTTGCAATTAAAGAAAATTGTGTTTCCGTGTAATTCTAAATATTTTGATACGTAAACAGTGTCTTTCCCATTCTTTTTAGGTGTTATTCCCAAGTTGGCATGACAGGAGGACCACAAGGAGTATCTTTAGGTTCAGGATGCATATTTAAAGGCACAATTGTCCATGAGCTTGGACATGCTTTAGGGTTCTACCACGAGCAAAACAGATCAGACAGAGATGATTACCTCCAAATATTTATGAACAATGTTCAGAAAGGTTAGTATAGTTATAAGTGTTTAGTGTTTTCTCTTTGAAAATTCGCAATTTGATGAGTCTTCACCATGGTTCTCTTTGTTATTGCGGTTTTTCATATGTAATCATCCACAATGGCTTAGTAGGAAGATTGTTATAAAATGCGTTGATTTTTCATATGCCCTGATAAACCTTTAGATACTATTTGAACTTGATTTCATTTTGTGGTAGGTTAAACTTATTAATGATGAAAGACTAGCTGTTGAAACTTACGGTAAAAAACTTAATTTTTCATTCTTACAAATGTAATTGCTAAAATACTGACTAGTGATCCTTATTTATTGCGAAACTGCATAGGCTGTTCAATTTCAGGGATTGTCTGTTATCCCAAAATTTACCATCAGATAGTCAAATATGGTGGTAATTGAATTAATTCGTTGGTAAATGCTCAAACTATTCAAGTGTCTAACATTTACCAGTAAGTTGTAGTAATTGTTGAAATTCATCGAATATAATGAGTGAAAGCTAAAGTGAAAGTTAATTCAAGATAATTTCAGTTTGCCTTCGTACCTAAACCTTTCGTACGCTTACTCGTTCTCAATCCATCGAGATAAATAATGACGAGCATAAAAAGGTTTTAGGCATAGCTAATGAATGTTAAGGATAATAATTTTTATTTAATTAATAAAAGAGTAATATTGTGCATGAAAAATTAACTATGGTTTATTAAAACACATAACCTGTAATAAATTCCTCTCTTATAGACGTTTCAAACTGTATAATATTATTTCAGAGATTAAATTCTGCCTGAGTCTAACTTCGATATTTCCCAGTTTTTGAATGAAATTTTAAAGTACATATAAAATTCAGTTATATTATTCATTTTATTTATTATATACTTTTTTAGTAGTTCATCTTTTACTGAAATAAGTTAAATTTAAATAACTCGAATTTTCTTTCTTTGAAATTCGAGGGAGGAATGAATCTTTATTGTAAAATTACAGATATGTATAAACAAATGATACTGCATCGAATTTTATATCGATTGTAATAATTTGTAAAATTTTTAATTTCTTGCATTGAATAAGATAAAAAACATTTCATTAGTTTTCCTGAAAGTATTATGTGGGCGCTATTTGATATTAGTACCATTTAAAATGAGCATGGAAAACAGTTCTTAATCGCAAAAACTATTATAATAATATCTGCATATTTATTGAAAATATGTACTTCAAATTTAAAGGAAGTCTTAAATCACAAAATTTTAATGTAAACAACCTTATGCTCGACTAGATTTTAGAAAACAGGAGTTTTAAAATTTAAAATGAGTACAGTTAATGAGATTTTAACTTCAAATACAAAGCATAGAAAATTTTGACTTGAGACTTTTTGAAAGGCCCTGTAAAACGTGTAAATTTATCAGTCGTGTCTAAATACTTCTTCATGTAATAAGTTCATTTGCGCATGAGCATGTTATTAAGTACCCATACCTATGCGCATCTCACTTTAGAACTGTGTATAGAACAATAATTCAAATTGAAAATTTTAGATGACAGTCGAACACCTCGAAGAGTTCACCATTCAAGTTTAGAAAAGTTTAAAGGACTTCTAACAATTAAAACTTGTAAAATCATGAGATTAAATAGAAACTTTCAATCTGATCTTGATATACTGCTTTCATTTTAGTACCTGAAACAGATTTAAACTAAGCAGTAATGATAGGTCAACTAATTTAAAAATTTGTTCACCAGATAGGAAATCAGTATAATCTTATATTTAAAAAGAACTATTCGATGAAGAAAAAGCGAACGGTAGAAAAAAATATCTTTATAATATTATGTGAATGAGTGAATGTGCCTTTGTGAATGAGCCATATTTAAATAATATGTAGACTTATTGTGGGAAGGAAACGAATCACTCAAGATTTAGTTGTGCTTTTATTTCAGTGAATCACTTACACACAAGACAAAAAGTTTAATAAATTTCTTTCGCCAATTAAAAATTGGATCGCTATGAAGTCTTCAGTCTTCTTTTTTCTGTTTATTATAAAAACAGGAAAAAAAAACCTATTATACTATGAAAGTTTTCTCAATATATAAAAATCGAGAATTAAGGAAGTCTCTTGTTTGTTTATTTTTTCCCCTCTTCTCTTTTCCCCCTTTTTTTGATGAATACACGAATAAAATTATTTGACAGATAATCCAAGAATACTCTGTAATTCAGATTGAAGTAATTAATCAATTATTTACTGAATAAAGTTGACTTATTGCTATTAATAGCTGCAGTAACGTGCATTCATATAAATGTAAGAGTATTCGTAATTAGGACATTGCAAATCGTAGCATGAAAAATTTCTCTTAGAATTTTGTCTAAATTTATAGTTTGGCTGCAAGTGGAAATATAAAAAAAGATTAATTGAAAGATTAAAAAAGAGTTAAAACATATTTGGAAAAAAAATAAAACTTATATTATCTAGTATTAAAAACAGTCTTTTTAGAATTACCAGGATTTCAAACTGAACAAAGTAATAGCTGGTTCTTATTAAGTGTACGGTAAGAGTAGTCGCAGAATTTGAACTAGAAAGTTTTATGAGCTACTGCTAATAGGGAGTTTACCTCAATATTTTGCTTAAAATTATGATAAAATGCCATTATTTGTTCCGCTAACTAATGCATTAAACATCATTAAGTCTTTTATATTATTTTGTTGTAATATTATTAATTACATTTAGTAAATAAGAAAGTCTACTGATAACTTAGCACTTTAGGGACGAAAATATTAACCAATAAAGAAATATACTAGCAACATTAGATTTTTGATGAATGTTTATAGTAAAATAATTTTATTTCAATCATTTCCGTTGTATATGCTTATTTTTCTTGTGTTCACTGCACTTCAGTTTTTCATTTTGTCTTAAGATAAATTTCTATCATTGCTTTAGTTTAAATTTATTTCCTTTTTTTGGTTGTCAGTAAATTGTCGTTTTCTCTATTAATTATATACATAAAAATATTTTTGCAATGCTATTTTGATATAACCATTCTTAGTGTTTCTTTATTAATTAGGCTTTCCTGCTTTGTGTTTCAATTTATTTATTTATTTTACATACTTTTGAATTTTTAAATATGGTACTATGAATAACATGCATTTTTGTTTGCACAGGTATGGAACATAACTTCGATAAGTTGAAACCCAACCAGAATATTTTGTATACTCCCTTCGATTATGATTCTATTATGATTTACGGCAACCACGCCTTTTCGAAGGATGGCACGTCTGTTACCATGAGGGCCAAGAACGGGCAGAAGCTTCTTGACCCCTACCACAAAATTGGAATGACAGCTTCTGACATTCAAAGAGTGAAGAAAATGTACAATTGTAAATGAATAAAAACTAAAATATCTCAAAATTTCCCCGTGTTTAAAACTGGATAACGCAATTAACGATATTGTTAAAAATTCACCATGTTATTTATATCACTTTTTATGTACAATTCAATATTTCTGAACTAAATGTTTAGATAAATATTTAAAAAGTAAAAGTTTTTTCATATTATCTTATGCCAACTACATGAGTAATTCTTAAACTTTCTTTTGATAGATTTTAAATCCAGAAATGATTTTAATGAGATTTAAGTTTTAGCACATTTAGCAGTTTTCGGAAGATTTTTTTAAGTTGACTCCTTAAGTTATTTCAGAGGTTTCTAATTCTCTTTACTTATTCTAAGATTGGTTTATGAAAAATAGTTTAAAGATAACGTTAAATTATTTTAGCGACGGGATAAATTTATCGCACAGTTTCAGTAAAACATTTAGACTCCGAGAAAGTTATTCTAATTTTTCAAGCATTTGAACGCAATTTCTTTGAATTCTGTGGAAATAAAAGAAAATACGAAATCAGAATTCTGTGTATCTTTTAGTAAGTATAGGACATTTAAAGCTTATATTGTATTTTAATAGCATATATTTTTTGCATTTTCTCAAGAATATTTAATCAAAATTACTACTCTGATCTTTAATTTTTCAAGAAAAAATTCTGAAAAGCATTTTTTAAAATTATTTTTCTGTCTTTTAAACCAGTGGTCTCAAGTTCAAGTCATATGGGCCAAATACTAGATCTAAAAACAGATCACGAACCAGAATATATTTTATCAAAATTTAAAAACATTTTTAACAAAAAAAAATTAATTAATAAATAAAACAAATTTAAAATTTTACTTGTTGAATACTTATCAAAACATACATAAACAACAATAATAAACAAAATACAAAGGAAAAACATGATCCCACCAGTGGCCGAGTGGTAAAGTCGCTGAACACTGGTAGTTCGGTCCGAGGTTATAATAATACGAACGGACTGGCTGCATGAGCTTTTTCGCGGTTTTCCCATGTGTAACGTGTATCTGGGCCAGTTTCACGAAGGCATCCCTTTCCTTAGGCAGATAGCCCTCGAGGCTTTGCCGTAATCACATAAACCAAACCAAACAAAGGAAAATATTAAATTTATATTTAGCTTCTATCTGAAGCCTAAAGGTTCTTCAGATACCTGCAAGAAATTTCTGTTGGTTATAGTTTGAAATTCAACGTAACGTAAACATTAAATTTTACACTGAAAATTATTTCAGGTAATTGCAGTATGTTCAATTAAACAATAAATAACTTAGTTTAATCGGAAATCCCGACATTTTTTAATACTAACACATCTCTAGCTGTTGTATGGGAAACTCTATCGACGTAGTTACTCTATCAACGTGTTAAATTCTCCGATGATGTCAGAGATTAGGGGACGAAGTTTTACATTGAAACAAAATCTATTTCATCCTTTTCTACGTATGCGTTCTTCTTACTATACTCTTTATTCTACAGGTACAGTAAAATACATTAAGTTTTATTTTGTTTCACCTGTTTAATAATATTAGTCGTTTTTTTAAAGTTAATGATTTTCATTAGGTTACAAACTTGTGCCAAAGCATTGTCGTAAGATAAGCAATCATCTGCGATACAGGAATGACTTAATCCTTAATTCCTATGAGGAAAATTGTTCCAGATTACGGACGTTTCGGTTGATGAACATGCTTCAGAGGAACGGATTAAGTTCGTGAATCAAGATTTGATTGTTCCATCGTCAGTATAATGGAACTAAAAGATAAATTTGTTTCTAAACTATTTTTATGGACAGAAGAAACTATAGATAAAATAAATAGCATTACATTTGCCGAACTGCTCATCAATTCATTATCATAGTAGCTTTGATCCGATGGAAAAAAACAACTGCAATATTTACGGATTGCTGTACTCAACCGATTTTTCGTGAAAGAAAGGGCAGAAGCATTCAAAATTCTTTATGTATCCATGCTCCATTTAACTCGCCGAACAGGTTCATTTCGTTTTCCTGAAGCTGACATGTATTCTCTAAATGTGAAAAAATTTTTAAGTCTTCCTATAGAATCAAAGCGTTTAAGAAAAGAGTTTCATATACTGCCTTTGTCCCTCCACAGCCGCTGTTACAAAACGGGAGACAGGGCTTTCTGCAGCTGATTACAAAAAAACAAAACTTACATTTTTATTTTTTCAAATTTTGGAATCAATGCACAAATCATTAACAGCTTTCAAACAATGAATTTCGCGATCACAAAAAGTGCACAAACAGTAACACCAAAGTATAGAATGAACAACCACTTATTTTTATACACTTTAGCAAATTTCTCGAGTTAGGAAAGATACCTGAGGTCAGAAATATCCCCCCTTATAGAATTGTTGCAAAACACAGGAAATGTTTCTTCTGTTCCTGGAAAAACAAGAAAAATTGTTAGACAAAAATAAGAGAACATTTTCGCATCAATCGAGTATTTTGAATGCCTTCAAGATACCTTAAAGATGACACGAAGAATTCGTTCTCACAAATCAAATGCATATTTTATAAGACAAATTCCATAATATTGTGTTTGAAAATTTTACAATAATATTTAGTAGGAACGGGAATATGTTATTTTTTAAATGCGATTTGAGTTGTTTCTACATTACTTGTAGAAAATTTTTAACAATGGCTATACAACTTAATTTTTACAATGTCGTATTATGATTATTATGTTATTTATTATTATATTTCTGGATAAAATATGGGTTGCATATTCCTTAAACACATTATTTATTTTTTAGTGATTGATATTAATTCATTTTTCTTATTTAAAAATACCTTTACTAACAACTGATTCAATTTTGAATGCCTTTTGTCGGACATCTTTAATGATCATGAGCTTTTCTATTAAAACAAAGGATTTCAGAGAAATGTAGATTTTCTGTGGTAACACTGGATCAAAACATTTCGTGACGCATGATCTAAATATTGCTTTAATATAAGTGAGCAAGTTGTACAGTTTCAGAAGCCTCGATTTGAAGAAGTATTAATTCTAATCAAAAATGGATTTATTTACTCTACAAAAGAAGTGCTTGTTTGTCAACATCAGTTCTGGGAGCGAAGTCTGACGTTACCTCACTTTCCGAGATTTATTAATTACGCTTCGTCGGTTTTTCCGTGCTGCTAATGAGTATATTTTTGCAATAAATGAAGTGAATAATAATTTGTGAATGCTAATTTGCTTCTTTATTCTATTGGATTACTTTGCATATAATTTTATATTAGTGTGTTCTGTACTATTTTATTGAAATTCTTTTGATTCGCCAAAGGGATTTAAATCTTTACTTATAAAAAAATTTAAAATTTGAAATGAATGTTTAACTACTTTTGATGGATTTTTTTTGCTCACAACAGCAAGGTGATATCTCAAATTTAAATATGCAGTTCTAGTATATTTCACTACGTCAATATGTTAAAAATATCAAAAACGACCTGTTAAATTTTTTGAAGTATTTTTTATGACAAAGAACTGGAATTCTCTTTGTTCTAAAAGTAATGTTTATATAAATATGCTCAGAACGGATACTTTTTCGGAAATGATCAATTCTGATAATTTCCGGTAAATTGAAAAATCTACTTTAATTTACAAACTTAAATTTATTTAAGATTTAATTTATAATTTATGATATGTATGCCAATTTTTGCAAACAAGAAAAATGCATTAATAAATTGTAATTATAAATCTTCAATTATATTCTTAAATCCATATTTCTTATTGTTACATTAGCTGATTTTTTTTCCCCTAACTGGTACCAATTTAAAAAATCGTCAGTTAAATCACCGAGTGAAAGTTAGCTAATTGCAGTTAAACGGATCACTAAAAGCGTGATTCTAGTAGCATAATGAATTCTATTAAATGTAAGAATTTAAAATATAAATATTATTTAATTCTACAGTCTGTTCTAATAAAAATTTCTAGTTCAAACAATCCTTTTTTTAATTTAATAATGTTTAGAACTTGCATAAAAAATATACCAAGTCAACCAATTCGTAAAAGTCAAAATGGTGTGGAATAATTAAAAGTCCAAAATTCAATGAACTTCAAATCAAAGAATTTTGAAAGTTCTTACCTACATTAATGAAATATTGTGCAACTGCAGTTTTTTATCTGTGTGTTCGAAGAAAAAGGACAAAATACAAATATGAAGCTATTTCTTCCTGAAACTGTTCTGGAGAAGAAAGTTAGATGGCAGAGCTTCGACCTAGTCCAAGGTAAAATTCTGAAGGCTGTTTCTACAAACAGAAAGGTTAGGGCGTAACAGGTGTTCGATGTCATGTTTTTTAAGATTCTTGTGTAACACCGACAAGATAAAACCTTTTAGTGTTCAAAGACAGCAACGGCATATAAATTTTAATACTCTCATTACATTGCAAAATGCCTTGCGCAAAAGTACTTTGATTTTAAAATCACGACTTGCTCAATTTTGTTGTTGTTAATTAATTATAAAGTCACTAAACGTGGTTTCATTTTAATATATTAGAACATGACTGAGTTTCTGTACAATGAGAAAAATGTTCGACCCAGTTTAAGAATAACTCACGTGGTAGGAGATTATAAGGAAAGAATGAGTGCGAACGTATTAATTACAACACCCGTATCTTTGTTGAATGAACCGGTACCCTTCCTTAAAATAACAAGAAATATGCAAAACTAGCATGGGAAGTTGCACTTTTCCCCCAGTACCCTTCCTTAAAATAATAAGAATTATGCACACACAGCATGGGAAGTTGCACTTTTTCCACTTTACTTTACATACGATATCAGTTCTAAGCTTAAAAATTTCCAAGATTTTCTCACGTATAAAATATATTCTATACTAATCAAGTGTATTTACGACATTGAGGAATTTGTTGAAAATAAGTATGTGTTCCTTTACTAAAAATATTAATTTATAGTTGTGATTAAGTTGCGAATACTTACATTGCATTATTTTAAAGGGTTACTTTATAGGTTTGATTTCTCAATTAACGATACGCATTTCTTTATTCAAATGATTAATGAATTGCTATTGCTGAAATTTTGATGCAATTAACTTTTAAAGAAATATGACAGGTGTGTTGTACATTATGAATGATCATAGCTCGTGCACTTTCTTTCATTAAAACTAGTAAATAAACAGCAATTACGAATTGCACTGCAGCATAGACATTTATTTTCGAAATGTTTTCTGGTACATCGGATAATTAAGCGAGCCATAGAAAATGCTGCACAATATGACTAACATTAGGACAATTTTCTTTTAAATATAACATCAGAAAATATCTTTATGAAGAGTAGGACATAAGCTTGCAAGACATCCATGATACACAACTGATCATTTGTGGCACTCGCAATATATGTAATACAAGATCATGTATAAAACAAAAATGCATACCAAGCCATTACATTCAGGGGGGCTCAGTTAAATTTCCACTGTTAGATATCATTATTCACACCATCTGGGGACAGGAATCCGACCATCTTAGCCCATCAGTCTAG